TAATTCAATTAAAAATCTATATAAAACAAAAAAAAAAAAAGCTGAATTACAGTTTATAAACAGTTAACTCAGTGATAATAAGAATTTCTGCATAAAGAAAACAAAAATAAAAAAAACCAATGAGAGCAGTAATAAAGAAAGCAGAAATAGAAAGAAAAAAAAGTGTAATAACTATAAATTCCATTAGATGGCAGTAGTTTACCCCTTTCCACCAATAACAATAATTACTTGGACCAATGTGTAGAAAAAGTAACCTTTAGCACGGGGGTCCCAAACTCAATTTACTTGGGGGCCACTCAACAATTTTTTTTTCTCCCATGAAGATCGCTTGCCAAATTTTAGACTTCAAAATGAAATTTAACTATATCCAGTAGGGTAATACGGACACCAATATACTCACGATCAGGCCCATTCAAGTTACTGATCAGGCGACAACCACTGCATGTAAACGCCTGCACGTAATCGTATGTGATATGATTATATGCAGTTAGAGAACACTCTCCCTGGATGCACAAATGTTGCGTGCAGGGATAGGGATTGATTCCTAAATCACAGCCACCACACCAAATGTGAGAAAATTTAATTACCCCCACAAATGTGCCCTCTCTCCCCACCCCCTACTGGTCTTACCATTCGCCTCCACGCCTGCTGGTGTACAATTTGTACATGGCGCTGGAGCTCTGCACTCAGCATTTCAAATAACACTCACAAATAGCGAGCACTAATTGGTCAGCACATTCACCTGACCAATGAGAAGTGCTTCTTGCAAAGAATTTCACAGATTTGTGGGGGTAATTCCATTTTTTCACATCTGGCGAGAAAGTAGAATTACTGTTTAAATATGGGTGTAACATGAAACATGGCCATAAAGGTGGACTGTGTATTTAAAGAAAGGTATTGTATATATTTCTAACAATTCAGTTAGGCTTTTAGGAAGTAACATGTCAAGCCCAAGATTGACCTTGCACCTCAGTGACAAAGTCCACTTTTTAAAGGTGCCCTCCCTACCTTAAATGCTGAATGAAAGTTCAGGGGTAGGGGTGGGGTGTAGGGTAAGGATGGGCTCGGGCGTGTTCGCAGCTCCACGTGCCAAGCCCGCCAGCAAGCTGACAGCACCAATCACAGGTACTGAGACATTTTCCCGGTCCGCAGCTGCAGGGATCGGGAAATGTGTCAGTGCCTGTGATTGGCACTGCGCGCTGTCAGCTTCCTGGCGGGCTCGGCGCGTGGAGCTGCGAACATGCCGGAGCCCATCACTAGTGTAGGGAAGTTAGATATTATACTTACTTCTTGAGCTTTACTTCTTGTTCTAAGGGGCAATTCCAAATTTCTGAATTCCCCTTAACTCTCTTTCCTGGTGATAGTGGTCCCCACCAGTGCAAAAAGAGGAGTTGATCTCACCATGGGGACACAGACCGTAATAAATACTTGATAGAGGGGCTAACCATTTCTCACTCTATCCAAAACAAAACTAGAGATACACTTTAAAAATCCAAATGTCTTGTGTGCACAAACTCTTACATTTGGTATCGGATGTGTGGTAAAATGGTTTGTATCCCAAACAAGGTCAGTTCTGACTGTGCCATTTGTACTCAAGATCTAGGGATACTATATTCCAGCATTTCTCAACCTTTTTACCATGGCAGAAACCCTTAGAATAATTGTCAATTCGCTTGGAAACCCATACTAAAAATGACATCTACAACTCTCTGTACATTGGTGTTTGTGGTGATTTGTAGTGGTGGTTGTCAGTAAGGAGAAGAGCTCTCCTAACATCAGCTATAAAGACCATTGGACAACATTTATTACTTGAAAGATGAGAGATACAAACAAATACGACAAATTTGCCATCCTAAATTAATCACCATTCACAGGCTGAACACTAAAAAATGTCCAGCATGGTGGAAGATTGCTTCTACAGATGTAACAAACGGTCAACCTTTTAAAAGCAATTTATCACTAGAGAAGCTAGTATTTTAAGACTAGTAACAGAAGGACAGCAAACTCTTAAACTGTATCAGCAAGAAATCATGCCTGTAACAGATACCATACCCAACGGATGTATGATAAGGATGTCTTCTTCAGTCAATGAATTTTAAAAGATAGACTCATTGCTACCCAGAGCTGCTTTAACTACCTGTATCAAGCAACGATCCTAGGGCCTATTCACACTAACAATCGTGTCGTTTGGGGTAAGTCACCAGAGAGTACTCATCTGCTCCTATGGCATCGACCAATAACTGGCCAAAATGCAGCAGAATCTCATTTGCCAGCAAGGAACCAGCAAGGATCGACACCTTGCTAGTTCCATCAGTTAGGGAGTGACACCATAGGAACAGACGCCTGTTCTTGCTTCGGTCTTAGCCATCTTCCTACTGGTGAGTTGCCATCAGTGACAGGATTGCAAGTGTAACATGGGCCTAAGGCTATTGCAGAGGACCCACCTTTTCCTGGACAATGGCCACATATGGTAAGATCATAACAACGTCCTTCTTTCTACACAAAAGCTCCTGAAGCATTACAATCTCTGCAACAAGTGTTTTGCCACCACTTGTTGGTAATGAATAAATTAGGTTCTTCCTCTGCCTTAGGGACTCCAGAGTTAGACAGGTATGCTGCCAGTCTGAAAAAGAGATAATAGAATACTTTAAATCAGGCTGTGATTGAAATTAAGGTTTTGTAATTGTTACTAGACATGTGCAGGGCATAAAAAATCGTTTTGGACGAAACAAATGAACAACATTTTCATTTGTTTCGTCAATGGAAACAAATTTTAATGCGGTTTTGGATTCGTAGGCAACAAGTCTCCGAATCCGAACACAGAGACTGCAAAACGAGCGGCGGCCGTAGCGGGATTTGCGCATTCGTGCCGCCATTTTGGAGTACATCTTGGTACACCAAGATATACTCCAAAATGGCGGCACGCATGTGCAAAACACGCTGGCGGCCGATCTGGGTGCCGCTCGTTCTGCAAATAATGCCACCCATGACGTGGCGTCATGTGACGTTATGCACCCCGTCTGCCAAGATGGGGGCGGGCATGTGCAGAACGCGCCGGTGGCCAATATGGCCGCCACACGTTCTCCTAAATTTTTATATGTGCAAATATCGTTTTAGTATATTCGGGCATATAAAAAAAAGTCTTATTTCGGATTCGGACGAACCGCCGAATCAACTGAATGTCGCTGATTTTGCAGGTTCGTCCGAATCCGAATGCACATGTCTAATTGTTACACATGTTTATACCATAAAAATAGAGAAAGACAACTAGATAGAGAATAGTTTTTTTTTTTAGTATTGTCCCTGTAATAAATACAGTTTAGACTGAACAAATTGCCCTAAATATAATAATCTAGTTCAGTCATTCTGAACCAGAGCTCCTCCATAGGTTGCTAGGGGTTCCTTGAGCTGTGGCAGACTGACCTACCATTCCATAATGCCTGCATAGTTCCAGGGCCAACACCACTGTGGGC